TATCTATTTATTGGCGATTCATTTGGCCAATCTAAGGATAATCTAATCCAGTCTATTTGGTTAAAATGATAAAGACTTGAATGGATTGGAAGAATCATTAATAAATGATTATATAATAATACATTCCTTTTTTATTTTCAAATCTAATAGATTGTCTAACAATATTTAATGGATCAAAATTAATGTAATACAAATGTCACTAAATAATTGGAATAGATCGGATAGAACTTGTGGTAGGGGTGATAGTTGTGATGATAATAATAATGATGATGCAATAATGGTGAAAATTACGGTGGTAGAGGTAATTGTGTCAACGGTAAAAATAATGTTGATAACGATGCAATGATGATGATGATAATGATAGAGATGACCGTTGTAAATGTAGGGATGAATGCATGTATACGAGAGTGAGGGCAGTTACTCTCACTAAAATTTTACTTTTTCTCATTTTTATATATATTATTATTATTTTATAATATATATATATATATATAATAATATAAATTATGTTTTAATTTAGGTTAAAAACCTAATTTAGTCCCTTATAATATTTTTTTGTTTCAATCTAGTCTCACTTTAGTTTTTTCTTTCAATTTGATCCCTAATAATTTAAATTACTCCAATGTTGGACTTCCGTCCAAATTATTTAGACGGAGTTAACTGTTGGCTACGTAGATGCCACGTGGATGCTAAATTTTTTTAATGCCTCTGGAACTAGAACGGTCTGTTCTGAAACCAGAACGGGCCGTTCTGATTCCAGAATGTCAAACACAAATGGTCGATGATTGTAGTTAGTGACCGATCCAGAAATTTTAGATCGTGTGGACAATACTTATTCATATATTTGTAATATTAAAAAATTTACATATAATTTTTAAAAGTATAAATATGTATTATAGTTATTTTTACAAGTTTTTATATCTACAATTATGATTAAGGATAAAAATAAATTAGGTCAGATTATGTTGTATTATAATTTAACAAATTTAAACTTAATTTTCATTAAAAATACATGTTATGAATATGATAAATTTATCTATTATAGACATGTTTTAAAATGTTTGGTTAGAACTACAATCTTAAAAACCTACTTAATAATAATTTAACACTAATAAAAACATAAAAATAAATATGTTAAATCTTATAAAAATCAAGTTTAATTTATTTATCATATAAAGATGTTTTTAATATGTGATATAAATTTTTATAATTTTAATTTTTTTTATCAACATATACAATAAATAAAAGGTACAAAAGTTTGACAAATATCATATAAATGAATAACTCTTCAAAATTTATATTTTATACATATGATAATTTAAATATATATATATATATTAGAATATAATTTTATTTTTTAAAATATATTAAATATATTATTTTTTAGATAAAAAAAATTGTGTATGTATAAATGATTTGTTTCTAATCTTTGAACCACATTGTTACATTGTTTTGAGTGGTTGGCGTTCTGGAACGGGCCATTCTAAATTCAGAACGACCCATTTTGGATACCAGAACGGCCCGTTCTAGTGTCAGAATGCTTCGTTCTAATGCACTCGGTGTTAAATAATGTATCTGAAACGGGTCGTTCCAGATGCAAAATTTACACACCATGAGTGCAATCAGAACGGGCCGTTCTGGTTTCAGAACAAGCTATTCTGGTTCTAGATGCATGAAAAAAATTTGGCATCCACTTATGCATCCACGTGACCAATAGTTAACTCCGTCTAAATAATTTTGACGAAAGTCCGATATTGCAGTAATTTAAATTATTAGGGACCAAATTAAAACAAAAAAATTAAAGTAAAACTAAATTGAAACAAAAAATATTATAAATGACCAAATTAGTATTTTAACCTTTAATTTATTATAAAAAAATTGTTAAGTAATGATACACATTTTACAGAGACATGATATTTTGTATTAAAAATTATTTTTACAAATATTATAAATATAATATATATTAATATATTATTAAAATGTGTAAATATAAACTACAATGACACTTTTTGTGAACATTCCAAAGGAGGAAGTCCCATAATAAAATCCATAACTATGTCATCCCATATTTGACTGGGAATGGGTAAAGGTTGCAAAAGGCCTGCAGGTCAGAAATAAGGCAATTCTTGACATACATTGCAATATCTTTTTGCATACCTTTCCAATGAAATTGAGTTGTAATACGTGCCACTATACGGGCTACACCAGCATGTCCACCCAATGGGGATGATTGAAATTCATATAGTATTTGCTTAATGATATCATGATTAACCGTAAGGACCAATCTCCCATTCCAATACAACAAATCATCATGAACTGAATATCGAGGATGTGGAGGTTTCCCATTTTTGCAACTATCACGAATGGACCTCAAATTCCCCTCCTCTACGATGAGAGTTTCAAGAGACTTAATAAGCTCACATTGGGCTTGTGACCATACCATGAAGAATGACCTTGACAAAGCATCTGTTGGAATATTATATTTGCCTGGCTTATATTCTACTGTGCAATCATAGCCAAACAATGTGTAACCAAGCCTGTTGTTCTGCTGTCTATATCGCTTGATCTGTAATACTCATTAAACTCCTCTGATCTGTCCTTATAATAAATTTGTGTCCCAGGAGGTAATGGAAAAATTTAGAAATAGCTTCGGTAATGGTGAAATTTAGCAATAGCTTCAGTAATGGCATACAATTCACACGTATATACACATTTCTTTTGTAGGCTTGATGTTAACTTCTTAGAGAAGAAAACAAATGGATGATTATTTTGGCTAAGGATTGCTCCTATGCCAACACCCGATGCATCTATTTCAAGGATAAACACTTGAGAAAAATTGGGTAAAGTTAAAACTGGAGCTTCAGTCAGTGTAGTCTTAAGCTTTTTAAAGGCATCAATAAGTAAGAGGGGCTGCTATGCTGGCATATCCCTTGATAAATTTCCGGTAATAACCTATAAGTTCCAGAAACCCGCGTAATTGCTTCAAATTCTGAGTTTGTGACCATGCTAAAACAGCTTGCATCTTTGAGGCATCCACTCCTACACCTTTTCCTGAAACTATATGACCAAGATAATCCATTTGTGCTAATCCAAAAGAACATTTTGATAGTTTAGCATACAACTGATGCTATCTAAGGATTTGCAAAATTATTTCCAAATGTTGTAAATGAGCAACCCAGTTAGAACTATATATCAATATATTATCGAAAAAAACTAGGACAAATTTGCGCAATAACCCATGGAAAATATCATTCATTAATGATTGAAAAGTAGCTGGTGCAATTGTAAGGCCAAAGGACATACCAATCCACTCATAATGACCATGATGAGTCCTAAAAGTTGTCTTGAAGCAGTGCTCCTCCTTTAACAATATTTGGTGATACTCAGATCGCAAATCGAGCTTGGAAAAATATTGTGCCCCAAACAATTCATCAAGCAACTTATCTACTGTAGGAATTGGAAAGCAATCCTTAATAATGATGGCATTTAGAGCCCTATGATCAATACAAAATCGCCATTGTCCATCTTTCTTCTTAACAAGAACAATAGGAGATGATAAGGGGCTATTACTAGGCACAATAAGTCTTTCTTGCAACATATCATTAACCATCTTTTTCTATTTGTGCTTATTGGCTATGATGGTATCTACATGGTTGTACCTCAACTGGTTTTGTATTTGGAAGCAAGGGAATGGAAAGATCATGAGTTTTAGTGGGAGGCAGTCCTTGAGGAACCGAGAACACATCCTTGAAGTTGGCACAACAGGTAATTTCAAGTAATGGGCTAATTGAGGTTGATGAAAATTATCGGAACTGCCATTGTCCAATAAAATTTGGACCAGCATCCCATTAATGGATCCTTGAAATTTCATAGTACCTACCCCTGACCCTCCATTCAGGGCGTTAAATGATAAGTGAGGCTCCAAAGATAATTCTTGAAATTCTATCACAACATTATCTAGTGGTTCTGGTTCAAGGATTTTTTCCTCATCTACTTCAATCTATAATAACACGTACTATTTGTTAGGGCATTTATAGCCCGTGGAAAATTTCTCATTACATGTAAAACACAATCCCTTTTCACGTCGTAACTTAATTTCAGTTGCTGATATATTTTTGGCATTGGAGTAAGTTGGTTTGATGTAGGTGTGGAAAGTAAAGGTGGTAGGCTAGTTGTTTTGTGAGTTTAGTTAATAGGACATGGGGGTTTTTTGGTTAAGCTATGGGGTTGATAGGTTCTATGTTTAGAACTATATTTCTTTTCATATAACTTGGCAAGAGAAACTGTACGAATCATAGAATTTGGAGCTTGAGCAATTACATCACGATGTATATCAGGTTTAAGACTGCTAATAAAGCAATCTAACAGTGCATCTAGGGTTACACCAGACACGATTAGCTAGTGTAATAAACTCTTTGTAATATTCCTATATTGACCCGTCTGAGCCAGCTTAAACATAGTGGAACGTGGACACTCATATGGAGATGGCCCAAATTCCATTTCTAGGGCTCTTGTGAAACCCACCCATGACTGAAATGGATTATTCTTAGTTAACATTTGAAACCAAGGAATAACATCCGCATCCAAATGGACGGCTACAATCATTAGTCTCTGATCATTGGGAGTATTGTAATACATAAAAAACTGCTCTACCTTGAAGATCCACTCAAGAACGTTGGAACCATTGAAACGTGGAAAATCAAGCTTAACAGTACAAACCTGGAAAGGTTGTGACACATGGTGATGAGCAGCCGTTGAAGCTGAAGAGCCTTTGACCATCGAAGAAATGCCTGCTTCCAATTTCTCAAATCGTGAAGTATATTCAACATGTTGCCTCTCCATCAATTCCAGAATGCGCTTAACATTAGTGGAAAGTTCCTTCAGTCTAGTATTCTCAGCCATGGCAACAAGTTGGAATCAAAATGAAAGCACCAATTGTAACAATTAAAAATTAAGAATTAACTATAATTGACTGAATCAGTATATGGAATGAAAAGACCTCTATGTGTATTATGATAGCAATAATGCGTAACGAAACAAGGAAGAAGCTACACGACGATAGCTATAAGAAAACTCACAGAAACAGAATAGAGAGAGAAATTAGCATCATTCACCCCCCCTTCTTTTCATCATATCCTTAGTTTATATATTTAATTGTTACACACGAATTCCTTCAAACGCGAGTTTGTTATTCTTTCCCTCGTGCTTTTCCTGATTCCCGCATCATTTGGATCGCTTGCCACGTGTACAGACCCACTAACCGTAACATCCTCCCCATGTTTAGGTTCCTTAATTGCCCCTGGAGCACCTTCACGTATTACATGTTCTTCATTCGCTTCATTCGTTTCCTTCTTGGTGTGTTCAGCTCCACTATTATAATCATAATTAGGAGGATTGCTATCATTCTGTACAAAAGTCAAACATTAGTATAGACATCAAAGCAACCTACATATACACTGTGCACCCAAGTTACAGCTAAATAATTTATTTAAACATGGGGGCAATGAGGGGAAAAAAAGTAAGGATAAATAAACGAGGTTTCCCCTGAGGAGGCTTTGTATTTTATAAGATTTGCCATGATATTTGCTAGTGTATAAAGAAACTGATGGATTTATTATATATGTGTAAAAATTAATTTGAGTATTCAACTTTACATGATGACTCAACCTCTTGAGAAATCAATCACCTTGTACATTTATCAAATAGATAACAGAAGTATCATAACCACTTCTCAAAATCTCGTGTTCATTGGTTCCAAGGTCAATAAAAAAAATTTGCACTTACAATATACAATAAAGGGGATTAATTGCGTGGTCAGAAACAAAATCAATAACCTGCTTTTCCTATTATGGTGGGTACTACATGGATCAAACAATTGTATTCGCCACTAACCAAGTCAAAAACATAATGGATTGGCAATACTTAAATCGGCATCCAACTTTTCTGGAAGTATTTCAATTTATTTTCTGTTGGGAATCCGGGTATAAAACTTGCATAAAGAAATTTTGAAGGGGATTTTAAGCATTGAAAACTGTTATTGCTACAATCAATGAGATTTGGCAAATAGCCTATACAGAAGACAGAGGTCATCTGTCTTTCCAATACCACGTTTCTTATATGTAATTAAGTACTGACTTTGACACTTATTTCTTGTATCTTATTATCAATAATTTTTTATAAGACTCAAGAATAAACACCAAAAATTAAAGAGAAAATGTTAATGGTTTAATTGATTGAAACCCAAAAGCATAACAGAACAATGGATACAAGTCTTCGCTTAGAAATTCAAAGATGAAAGGAAACTAACATAACACAGGACTCAGTCCCTCACTCACATTGAGAGAATTGCCTCAGTCACAACTCAAATATCGAAACAAAACTATCTGGTATTTTCCAGACTTCCTCTGTACAAAATTATAAGGGTCCCCCTACTTTGTTTACTCTAAGGCTAATGAAACCACCCATAATTTAGGACTAGATTTATTTCTGCGTGTATAAACCCCAGGACGTCGGCTCCACCCCTGCCCCCCTGGGGCCCAAACTCATTTTGTGAGTTGGCATATCAAAATTCTAATAACTGATACTTAGAACATGTAACAAAACTGGGCATAAAATGAAATCTACAATACGAGATGATGCTAATCAAACTCCACAATTTTGTGATTGTGGTTTACATATTACTTGGAAGATTCAAAATTCAGATAAACAAATTCCCCTCATCACAAGGGAGTGATCCTGGATTGCCACAAATATTCTGGATACTATTACTATATAATGATTCATGGGCATTCATTATTTAGATCACAAACAGATATGAAAATATTTTTTAGTGAAAATTATCTACATTTAAAACAATTCTCTATAATCTCTTCAATTTTAATAAGTTTACAAATTTCTAGAACTTCGTAAGTTTTTCATTTCTATTTTATTTCTATTCTTTCTATAACACTATTTCTCTTACATTTCTTTTTACATTTTTTTCAAGTTAAAAATTCTTAAAATGTCAAGGGCAGGTTTTGCAGGTTCGAAGATCAGCGCCCAAACCATGGGAGCATGTTTTCTATCAGCGCTACACTTGCATTAATTAAGATATAATAGGCTTAAACTGTCAAGATACTTGTGATACCAACACCTAAACCCCTCACACAGTTTATTGTTAGGCGCTAATACCAGAACCTGCAACACCAGTCTCAAACACTAAGAATTTTAATAAAATTTGAACTGAAAGAGTGTAAAAAAAAT